GCATACATAGGAAATTCACACTAAAATACTGATGAATTTTCATGAATACTCTTTTGGGAGGGGGGTGCAATCTGATGAAGAAATATGGAGAACTGAACTCAAACTGAGAGAGATCCAAACCAACAGATTCAACTTTCTCTTGCCTTCCCTCTTTGGATATTCCAACTCTTGTGTGTTTTGGATAGGGGATACTACCAGCGCTACCTGGAGATGCCAGTGATTCAACCTTTTGCATGTGAAGCAGATGTTCTACCACTGAACTCAGTATGGCTCTTCCCTTGTATCTGATGGGAAAACAGTTACACAGATTAGCTTTTCTTTTGTTCAGTCTGAATGTTGCATCTGTATTAGGTACTTAGGACATAATATATTGGAAATATATAAATGTGCAAATTTGCATGGGCACATTGCCCAGAACTGTGTACCACATACCACTAGATGGCAGGAGCTTTGTTAGGGCAGCAACAATATTATTGGTCTGTAAGGTAAAACATACCTCCTCCCAGATCTTGGACCACATTTTGGAGAAGAGCAAACAGGGAAATTGACCGCCTTTTATACACGGTATTACAAGAATTGGGAAGGCAATGTGCGGGATGCATTTTAGTGCCGTCACAGACACACACTGGACAGCTTATCTCTCCAGCACCACCCACTTCCCCGAAACTATACTGAGAGTGATGCTCCAGGACAGGAGTGAGGATCCTCAGGGCTGGAACCCAAGTGTGGCCCCCCAAGCCTTTCAATCTGGCCCTTGGAAGTCTTCCCAGCCCCCCCTTCCTATCCCCTTACTGATCCTGCTTTGCGCTTTCCTTGAGCATTTACCCTAGTTGGAATGAGTCCTTGCACTCTGACAATGCTTCTTTCTTGCTGCATTGGAAGGTACAGAGGAGTTTACAAGTATGGGGGGAAATTAGCCTTCTTACTGACAACCAGTCCAGGAGGTGGCACTGCCTGTAAGCTTCCACCTTCTTAGTCTTGGTGTGGCCCTGCAACTCAGCAGGGAGGAGGAGGAGGAGGATGGGGAGAAAACTATTGCAAGTTGGCTCTGCTTGTCTTTGGCTCTGGCTTCAGCTACTGTCGGGCTCCCTGTCTTCTGCCCTACCATTCCCAATGGGCACCAGCCACCACTGCCAGTGTGCAAAGTTAAAATTCACACATTTGCTCTGCCCACTATTGCTCTGGCCCTGCCCACCCCTAGCATGTGGCTCTCAGATGGTTGCTCAGTAAAATAAATAAATACAATCCCTAGGGTTGGGGGGGGGGAGTTCCCTTTCCCCTGCTCTAGGACTCCAGGACGCTGCTCTGGTGCATCTGGTTACACTGAGACAGCAATGAAATTAAATGCAGCCTAGAAAAGTTCCCTTCCCCTTTTGTGAAAAGGATGGAAACTTTTCAAGACTGCACTGCATTTAAAAGGGGGTGTTTTTTCTGCCTCATTCTCTGGATACTTTATTATTTCTTTAGAATCACAGTGGCTGTGTGGTTGAGCTTGCCTGAGCATTATGAGGTGGCTGTGAGTGGTTTTTCCTCTTTCCATTAATCTCTGCAGTCTGCTGCCTCCCCAGCTGCCCACAGTTCCTGATCCCTAAAAGGTCCCATTAAGGGAAAAATTGCCTCATGGCATAATTCTTTGGGTTTCAGTTGAAAAGTGGCAAATGGGATGACCTGATATTGGTGTACTTGCTGATTTTATTTTAAGAGAGAGGTGATTTATTTAAACAAAACAAAACAAAACCAACATTTTTAAAAGACCAGGCTTCTTTGGGGGAAGCCATGTGCTCTAAATATGCTTTAAGTGTGTGGTGTGGATGTGACCTCTGTCATTTTATGAGTCTTCATCTTCTGAAATATCATTTATCCCTAAAGGCATGGTGCATTGTTGTGGCATCTTTCAGAACACTTTCAAAGCTTTGCTAAGTTTTGCATATGTAGTAACCAAGGTTTGTAAAGCATTCCTTAAATCAAGAGTTTTCACAATCCCTTCTCCCTGGTCAATATTATCAGTTTTGTTGGGAGACTGACAGTTGTACAAACCTCTGGCACTGTTAAAAAAAACCCCATTGTTCTGGTTAGTGTATGTAATGTAGATAATTAGACTTTTTTTTTTAAAAAAAAGGAGTCTGTAGGCGGAAAAACAACGGTACCCTGTCAACCATCAACCGTTAAAAATAACTGACAGGATGCACCTGAATGTATAAGGAGTATGCCCACGCCTTTTGAGAGGAAAGAAAGAAAAGTAACAGAAGGGGAAGGGGAAGCCCTGTGCAATGCATTATGCATTCATAATGCATGTGGACTTCCTCACATATTGTTTCTATGTGGGTGAGGAGGTGGGTGGACCGATGGACAGAAAGATACATAGACAGCCAGACTGACAGTCAGATAGATAGATAGATAGGCAGATAGATAGATAGACAGACAGACAGACAGACAGACGGAGGCATGATAGAGGTGTAATTAATTTTACATTGTGTGGAGAAAGGGGATAGAGAAAAGTATCTTTCTCTTAACCCTGGAAATTAGGGACATCCAATGAAGATGACAAGATGGTTAGACAGTGTTCTCAAAGCTACCAGCATGAGTCTGACCAAACTGTGGGAGGCAGTGGAAGACAGGAGTGCCTGGCATGTTCTGGTCCATGGGGTCAGGAAGAGTCGAACATAACTGAATGACTAAACAACAATGAAGATGAATCTTGGAAGGCTGAGGACAGACAAAAGGAAGTACTTCTTCACACAGTGCTTAGCTAAGCTATGGATTTTGCTCCCACAAGAGGCAGTGATTGCTACCAGCTTGGAGGGCTTAGACAAATTCATGGCACATGAGTCTACCAGCAGCTACTAATAACAACTACTATGTTCTTCCTCCATTGTCAGAGGCAATATGCCTTTGAATACCAGTTGCTGAGAATCACAAGCTGGGAGAGAACTGTTGTACTTGCAAGTTTGCTTGCAAGTTTGCCATAGGCATCTGGTTGGCCAGTGTGAGAACAGGATGCAGGACCAGAGGCACCTTTGACCTTTGACCTGATCCAGCACATTTTTCTTATGATTGGACTTCTTCAGGTGCCCTCATGGAATAAAAAAGTGACGAGGCAGGTGAAATCAAAATGTTTTGCTATATCATACCCTCCAGCATATCCCAGAGGTAAACCGGGACTCGTGTCTTTCAGGGCCACGATGTCGTGTGAGATCTGTGTGACTTTCACAGAGTCGTTACTTGGTCTCAATTTATTATAAAAAGGTATTTATTGTATATGATGTCCTCAAGGCAGCTTACCAAGATATTCAAAATCAAAACGCAATCAAATTAGGGAAGGCAGGGCTCTCACACGCCTCCCAGTTGTGTAGAGTTTCAGCAAGTGAAGCCTCTGTGTGACTCCTGTTAAAGGTACAGGATACCCCTGTCCTCTTTCGCCTCCCCAAATCAAACATTAAAAACCACAGGAAAATAAAAAGTCAATAAATAACAAATAACAAGGCACTCAGATGACAATTAACCACCCCACCCCATATAAAAACAGCAAATCTGTCCATTACAGGGGGATCAAGGTTCCTGAGGGGCCATAAAGGCCATTATGACAAAGATTACTTCCTAAGAGGGAACAAGTTGCCTAGGAGAACTGTAGCTGAGGCAAAGCAAGTGTGGAGCTCATAAGAAACCAGGCTGAAAGCCCCCATGATAGAGTGGGGTATATAAAGTATAATAAACACTAACTGGAAGTAGTGGTTTAGTGTGCTTATGGCAAGTTTCTCTTAGTTATTAAAAGCAGTGCTTCTGTGAAGGTACTTTATTTCTGTGGTTAAGGATATATAGGCTGTTGTGGGCATAGGTGCCTACAATTTTTTTGTGGGTGCTCAGCACCCATAGTGCGGGCTCTGATGTGACTTCCAGGCAAAAACATTCCTTTTTAAACAGGCCTTTGGTTGATGATTGACATCTTATGTCCATTTAAAATGTGGAGGTTTTTTGTGGGGGGGAGGGTTTACTGGGTTGTTGTTTTTATTTTGATTATGTATACAGTGGTACCTTGGGTTACAGACGCTTCAGGTTACAGACTCCAGTATCCCAGAAATAGTGCTTCGGGTTAAGAACTTTGCTTCAGGATGAGAACAGAAATCGTGCTCCGGTGGCGCAGCAGCAGCAGGAGGCCCCATTAGCTAAAGTGGTGCTTCAGGTTAAGAACAGTTTCAGGTTAAGTACCGACCTCCAGAACGAATTAAGTACTTAACCCGAGGTACCACTGTACTTTATTTCTGTGGTTAAGGATATATAGGCTGTTGTGGGCATAGGTGCCAACTATAGGGGGCCCTGGGAGCCCAGGCACCTATATTTTTTTGTAGGTGCTCAGCACCCACAGTGCGGGCTCTAATGTGACTGCCAGGCAAGAACGTTACTTTTTAAGCAGGCCTTTGGTTGATTTGATTGACATCTTATGTCCATTTAAAATGTGGAGGTTTCTTTTGTGGGGGGAGGGGTGTTACAGGGTTGTTGTTTTTATTTTGATTATGTATACAGTGGTACCTTGGGTTACAGACGCTTCAGGTTACAGACTCCAGTAACCCAGAAATAGTACCTCGGGTTAAGAACTTTGCTTCAGGATGAGAATAGAAATCACGTGGCGGTGGCGCAGTGGCAGCAGGAGGCCCCATTAGCTAAAGTGGTACCTCAGGTTAAGAACAGTTTCAGGTTCAGAATGGACCTCCAGAACAAATTACGGTAAGTTCTTAACGTGAAGTACCACTGTATTGTAGTTTTTATGTTTATCTTTTCTGTGTACAACCCTGAGACCTCCAGGTATAGGGCAGTATATAAATTCAACAAACAAACAAACAAACACAAACATAACAGGGATGTGACATGGGCAGGGAATGAGGCAGAAATAGTAATCCATGTCCTTCCTCCCCATCATAGCAATCCTTGGGGTGTTGTGAGGATGGCGAAATAAGGCTTACGTTTTTGTTGAACAGTGGTGAAGAGAACACAGTGCTCTTGCCTTTTTCCCTTAAAACTGTTATTTTATTCATGTACGTACATGTTTGTGTACACAATTATGCAGATATAATCAACGAATCTACAAATAAAATGCATATGTTTCACAGGGAACATTCCCAATGGAAATCAGTAGGATTTGCTTCTGAGGAAAGGGGCATCTCCTTGGCTGGCATACTTTTTTTTAACTAGGTGACTACCTTATTTATTCTCCAAATGTCATAGTATCATAAGATCATAGAACTGTAGAGTTGGAAGGGACCACAAGGGTCATCTAGTCCAACCCCCTGCAATGTAGGAATATTTTGCCCAATGTGGGGCTTGAACCCACAACCCTGAAATTAAGAGTCTCATGCTCTATCAGCTGAGCTAGTCTCCCACACAGAACTGCAGAAGCTGCTGTACGGGGGTTAGCAGGCGATGGGCTGCAGCCTAGTGGTGGAGCCTCAGCTTTGCATATAGAAAAACCCATAATAAATCCCTGAGCTCTCCGGGTAGGAATGAGAAAGAACTCTGCCTGTAATCCTGGAGAGCTGCTGCTGCCAGTCAGTGTTGATTATCAGGGAAAGCGTCATAGCTGAGTAGCAGAACATATGTTCGGTCACTGGCATCTCCAGATATGAGTTGGAATAAAGATTCCTGCTTGAGACACTGGGCTTCATTTCAGAGTGCCCCCAACATCATAGCCCCACCCACACTTTTCACATACTGGGGACATTCCTGTTGAAATGACGCTGTCAAGTTTTGTAGGATCTTCTTCTCTTTCACTCTCCCCCTTGTTGTCAATGGTGTAGCGTGAGTTTCCAGTTCTCATGGCCACGTGGAGGGGGTGGGGGTGGGAAGGGGAGGCAAATGAACGGAGTATGCATGCACATTCAACATAAGGGCATCCGCGTCACCCAGGAGATTGCAGCCACAGAGATAAAAAAAGAAGAGTCGTTCTGTTGTATAGAGAGGTCACTTTCTGGTTCACATGGAGAGTTCATTTTCAATGGACCCCAGAGACAGAAGCGCTCACCTGTATTGAGGCAATACCGGGTGTTGAAATTGTGCACTCCTGAGAATTTTGAGCCCAGGGCGGTCCTCTCCATTCTATGCGTGGAATCCTGGCTGCACAAGATGATACAAAGTGAGATGGATGAGTCATGTGGCTCTGTATACAGATTCTGACTATGACTCGTTGAATGATCAGAAGTCCAACTTACTTTATTCCTTAACAGAAGAAGCACTTTCTCTGCTCATCAGACGACTCCTGATGGCCAAGCTGCTGTGTCTTGACACCTGACCCTTGAATTCTGATGTTGTGAAGAAATATAGGACTGGATCTAAGCAGCAGTTAAGACTTGCAAGGCTTAAGCAGAAAGGGTGCAGGTGCAGGATAAACCAGTGTGCGGCGCAGTCTCTGATAACGTCCTCTTTCACCATCATATAGAAGAAAAACACAATGTGATATGGCGTGAAACACACGAAGAAGACAATTGCACACGTAGCAACCATCCGGAGTGCCTTCTGCTTCTCGGTAGTGTTCTGCAGAGGGATATGGCATTCTTGGAGGGAGGCTTTTGTCTTCCAAGTGCAGTAGACAATGGTGACGAGAGGGATCAAAAACCCAACAATTTCAGCCACCAGCATCAACAGGACTGAGCTGACATGGCTGCCTATTTTCTTGACGCCAAGGTCGGTAAAGCAAGTATCATTGCTGTTTGAACTTCTCATCAATGGAAATGGCAAGCAAGCAGCTCCAACAAAGATCCACACAGCAACACATATGGCCACGTCGTACCTCCGTTTCCACCCTTTGGCCCTGAATGGATGGAGAAGGAAGAGGTACCTTTGAACGCTGATGCACGTAAGGAAGCAAATGCTGGCATACATGTTAAGATACTTCAGATAGAAGCAGAGCTGGCAGAGGAAGGTTCCAAATGGCCACTTGTAGTTGATGTAATAATATATCCGCAGAGGCAAGGAAAGGACTTGAATGAGGTCAGCAGTGGCCAAATTAACCATGAAGATGATGTTTTTGTTTTGCTTGCTGATGAAGCGGCATAAAATCCACAGGGCCATGCTGTTGGTCAGGAGGCCTGGGATGAAGACGATGGTGTATGTCGCTGCATAAAGGGAATGCTGGAACTCTTTTCTGGGTTCTGTGCAATTGTCTGTTGCACTAATGCTCTGCAGCAGCAGCACAGCTGCACTCCCATTAGAGGCAAAGTGAGATGAAAGGGACACTTCTTTGGAAATATTTACCCTGTTTAAAAAAAAAAAAACAGAAGCAAAAACAAGTAGTGTAAGGTTTCCTGTTTTCGTTATTGCAAAAAGATACAGTATTGTCTTTGCTTTGATTTACAATGCTTTAAAAAGCATTGAACTAATACTCAGTCATACTGACCAGGGAAAGTTTGACCACAGTAGATCATACATTGGTTTATTCAAGACTGAATTACTGCAATGAACTTTATGTGGGGATTCCCTTGTATTTGATTCAGAAGCTGCAGTTAGTGCAGAATTCTGCAGCAAAATGACTGGCAGTACATGTGCCCCCTCCCCTGCAGATTCACACAGAAAGGACAAATGAAACTCTGTTTTTGGCGGGGGGTAACCTGAGACTAAATTGGTAAAATGGGAGGGGCGTCCCTAGATATTGCTGCAATTTTATTCACCTCTATGTATTGCTGCAAATCTTATTTGCACTGTAAACAAAAATAACTGATTCCTGGTCTGTTTCCACCCACGGAAATAACTCTTGCACATAACCAATTCTCAGCTATTGTCTCCTGCAATTGCTCAACTCATTCCCTCTTAGCCTCTTTCATCACTTTTCCTTTGAATCCTCACCTAGTTGTGTGTTCATATGTTTTCATTAAGTCACTCATAAATTCAGTAAAAAACACACAACAACAACTGATTTCCAGCTTCAATTTTACATGAAGATATCTCTGGAGAAAATAAAGCTTAATGCAGTTTACAAAAGGACTCTGGGTTTTCTCCATCCTTAGAGAATTAAATCAGTGCTTCTAATGTAATTAGGGTTGGCCCAGAAGATCAATAGAATATGTAGGTTGCTGGCAAAGTAGTTGTGTCAGTGGCTGACACAGGATTGGCCCTACCATTTAGGCAGAGTGAAGAAGCTGCCTCGGGTGGCAGGTGCAGGTGGCAGGTGTAGGGGTGGGGATGGAGCTGTGTGTGCCTTGTGGCAGGCACTGCACCCCCAAAGTTAGCCTCATGTCCTCAGGTGTGGTAGAGGGTGGTGTCTCAGTGTCAGTGCTGAAGGAAGATTCACTTGCCAGTTTGGTCAGCTTCAGTACATGGAATTGTGTACATCAGGCAGCCTAATGTCTTGGGCTGACCCTGCTGACCCTTGTTTCACTCTGGGCATTCAGCCTGTTCACATATGAAATGAAGTGAGGTAGGAGGGGCTTCCTTTAGCACAGATGTGAACTGTATCCAGCCTGCAGGCCAGATCCTTACCTTCACTAGCCTGCACAGGCCAAGTTCAACAGATGGGCAGGTTTGCCCTCCTGTCTATCACCTGATGTCACAATAGCATCAGCTGCCTACAGGTAGGCAAACAGCTGCTTACTAGGGCTCGGAAACAAGTCACATATGACACTGTGCCAGCCTTAATGGTCAACTGCTTGCTGCTTGCAAAGAGCATTGCACAGAGCTTTTGCAACCACCAACAACCAGCCGGTCGTTATTAGGAATTGCAAAGTGCTGTGTGTAGGGCATTGCACAGAACTATGCAGGTGCTGGTGTTTGGCTGATTGCAAAACATCTGCAGCCAAACCACATCTTCACTTGTTTCATATCTGATTCCATATATGATGTCAGATATAGGGAAGTTTGGTGTGGCTTTTCAAAAATGACCAGGCAGGCCAAACAAGGAGCCCTAGAGGAGCTAATTAAGGCTGCAGGTTCCCTACTGTTTTAACTGAACAGGAGCAGATGTAAGAAGTACACTGATCCCCATGTCCACTAACAACTTACCTCCACACAGTTCATTGTACTAGGACCTAGAATTTAGGTACTTTCCCCCCAATCCTCATTCAATTCCAGTACTGGAGTTGAGAAGGGAGAGGAATGCTTGGAGCAGCGCCCTATAGTAGGATGTGTTGAGGGACAGAGGAGGATTTCCCACTTCCTACCTATGCATTCCTTTTTCTTTTATCCACACCCCTTCCTTCCACGTTAAATGTCAGAAGGATGGGCATGTCAATGATGACTTTAGCACAGGTGTTGTTGGGTACCACAAATTCCATCATCTCTGACCATTGGTCATGCTTGTCTAAGCTGATGGGAGTTGAAGTCCAACAATATCTAGAGGAGCACAGGGTGGTTGCTCCTGCCTTATCATATGCCTTCAGATAAGTATGCATGTTTAAACTGAGTGCCCACAGAGTGGAGAAAATGTATAGGTTTAGGAACATTAACAAGTGGCCACAGCATCTGTTTTTCTCTGCGCCTCTCTCTGCTAAGAAAACCATAAGCTGTTCCATGGTTGTTGGATTTATTAGGCAGCCTTCCTATAAATTGTCAAACAGACTCTCTGCACTGTGGACCAACTTTGTTTGTACAGGGTTTTTTTTAAGAGCTTCCTCAGTCTGTGGCTTCCTTTCTCCAGTAAGTGGGCGTAGGTCTTAAAACAGTAAACACAGCACTTGTAACTAGTAGCTTTTTCTGTACAGTGGCAGAAATAAGTCATATCATGTGTCTTGAAGAATAGGGTCTCCTGCCTGTCTTTCCGCTTTGGGTTTTCCACAAGAATACGGCTTTAACCGTCAAAGTGTTGTTAGAAATAAGACCTTTTAGCTCAGTTGAATTTACTCTGTAGTAGTAGCTAAAACACATTTATGAAACCTAATTTCTGATGGTGTGTGTGTGTGTGTGTGTGAGAGAGAGAGAGAGAGAGAGAGAGAGAGAGAGAGAGAGATTGTGGTGCACATGTGGTTGCAGTGTGCATACTGTTGTGGTGTCTCCATGGTACCCACAATAGTTCCTCCAGGTGCAAAAATGCCAGTGGGCCAGAAGTGGTTGGCCTAGCAAAATGTAAGTCAGTTTGTGTGGAGGTGTTGTTGTTTTGTTGTTCTTGTGGGGGGGGGTATTTTTTTTAAAAAAATCCACTTCCTTTTCATTGACCCCAGTTTATTGAAAATAAATACTGCAGATCTTATGCATGCTTACTTGGAAGTAATTTCATTGAAATCTGGGGACTTTACTTCAGCGGAGGCACAGGAAAGAATTTCCATTCAGTTTGCATATTAAATATGAATTTATCGAATTATCACGTTATGAAACAACATGAGAAGTGAAACACAACCATCCTTTGAAAATTACACTTATGCACACTTTGCAATGCAGTTCTCTAACCAACAAAAGTTATTGTTTTTTAAATGCTTATATCAAGAGAAAGTGTGCATCAAATGCATATATTAGTGAAAATAATATACAAAAATGTATTGTGTAAAGGAGCACTGCTTGCAAAAATATGTTCATTAGTCAAAGCTGCAGACAAATATGAATTTATTAGGAAAAATTCACACTAAATTGCTGCTGAATTTTCATGAGATTTTAAATGAAAATTCACAAACTGATACAGAAATATGGAGAACGGCATTTAAGAAACCAAGAAACTGAAAGAACAGAAATAATAATAACCCGCCCATCTGGCTGGGTTTACCCAGCCACTCTGGGCAGCTCCCAATAGAATATTAAAAACACGATAAAAAATCAAACATTAAAAACTTCCCTAAACAGGGCTGCCTTCAGATGTCTTCTAAAAGTCAGATAGTTGTTTATTTCCTTGACATCTGATTTGAGGGCATTCCACAGGGCGGGTGCCACCACCTAGAAGGCCCTTTGCTTAGTTTGGCAGATCCTTCCTTCTCTAATTCAGAGTAAATATGGATGGGCTTGTGCTACTGTTGGCTAGAATGTGGGGCCAGCTGAGACAGCAATGGCTCAAGCGTTAATGAAATAATCCTCAAAAGTGCATTTCTAACATAGCCCATAACTATTAATCTGGTTTAATTGTTCAAATTCCACCTGGCTGGAAGTGGAGAAATAATGTACTTCAGATTTTAGAAGGCAAAGCTCATTACTCTTCCTGGAGATCCCATGTGTAGTTTTTAGGGAAGGGGCCTTTCTGATGGTGGACTCCCATCAGTCTCAGCTACCAATATTAAATCCTACTCTTCCCATTTATGCAGCCATTTTGAATTAAAAAAAAAAATCATCAAAACTTTTGTGCATATTTCTCCTAATATCCATATTTGTGCATGCTGTTTTGACTAATGTAAACTTTTTGAAAGTTATATAATGCAGTTTTGTTTGTTACTTTCATGAATATATTTTATGCACACTGTCATCTAAAACGCATTTTTGTAAATATTGTTTGGTTGGAGAATTGCATTGCAAACCTAGGAGAAGTATGAATTTTGAAGGATGTCTGTGTTTTAGTTCTGATAATGTTTCAAAGAGTGCAAATTCAGATGATTCACCTTGAAATGTGAGCTGAATCAAATCTCTCCTCCGTACCTAGTGAAGGCTGCTTTAAGCAGCTGCACATAATGTAGTCGTTCATTCAGGTCGTTACTCACTCTTTCCCAAGGTTTGGCATGGACTGCAACTTCTCCCTCCACTCTCCTCCCCAAAACCACACCCTTTAAGAAGTTTTATAAGCCAAGAAGACAACTCCCTACGTTCACCAACTTTTATAACTGAAATTTGGACTGTGGTGGAGCCAGCCGGGGGAGGGGAGAGGGGATAATAAGAGATGGATATGAGATGCATTGGGCAATAAATCTATGCCATAAAAGCATGGAGAGGTGCCCTCAGTCATTTTCACATTGAGAACAGTTTCTGGTTACGTCCAATTCTCCATATTTCTGTATCAGCTTGCAAAGAAAAACACCCAAAACTTCCTCATGAAAATTCACCAGCATTTTATCTGGTGCAAATTTATCCTAATATAAACATTTTTAGGTCTGGACTTAACCAGAAACTGTTCTCAATGTGAAAATTGATCAACAAACTGCAGGACCCAGACCTCTTAGATTTGGAGGGCTATGATAATTGATGGGGATGGCACGCATACTTAGCGTAAGGAAAGCAGAAGTTCATAGGAATTTTTTAAACCCTGTTATTAGGAAATCCTTAATGATGGTTTGGGAGAAGTATAAAAACCTGCTTGAACCCATGGTTCCCTGGTGGATCACGCCAAAGGCGGTCAAGAGAAAAAATACCCAGGGACCCTGGCCAACATAAAAAGTACTCCTAAAGGAGGATAATAACCAATTGAAATTAAAAAGCTTGGGGAAATAAGAGAGTGCCTTTTTGACTGGTTTCAATATCACCAATTATTTGAGACATTCAAAATTGACAAACAAAAGGGTTTTTCCACTGAGACCTCTAGATTTGAATTGGATTTGGTGAACTCCAGAATTAAAACACTTTCTAAAGTATAGCGACTCCTCCTTGACTGGGAAGTCAAGGAGGAGGAGGTTACAGCGGCTATGATTAAGTGGTCACAGTATTTTGGGTATTCAGTAACAATGAAGCAGTGGGAAAACCTGTGGTAAACAAACTGGAATTTTACAGCCTGTTACTCTCTGAGAGAGAATTTTCTTAAAATACAGCATTGTTGGTATTTAACCCCCTGGAAATTGTCCAAGATGTTCAAAAATGTCCCAAATAACTGCTGGAGGTGTAAAGAAAAGCCAGGTACTCTATTCCATATGTGGTGGCAGTGTAAAGAAATCAAGGTGTTTTGGGAGGACATCCACATAGAATTGGAAAAAATGTTAAAGATAGGAAACCAGAAGCTTTCCTTTTGGGAATCACAGATTTGGATATTCCTAAAAAGGCTAAAGAGATCTTCTTACATGCCACGGTAACAGCAAGAATCCTCATTGCGGCAAATTGGAAAAGTGAAAAGTCCCATCAAGATTAGAATGGATTCAAAAATTGGCTGACTATGCGGAATTAGATAGTATGTCAGAAAAAATAAACCAAAACTTTATCTCAAAATGGGAAGTTTTAAACATATACTTGAAAAATAATCATTGTAGTCTAAGGTCATTCACAGCGTTCGAATAATTCCAGTAGCAGTATTAAAGGTAAAGGTAAAGGGACCCCTGATCATTAGGTCCAGTAGTGGACAACTCTGGGGTTGTGGCGCTCATCTCGCTTTATTGGCCGAGGGAGCCGGCGTACAGCTTCTGGGTCATGTGGCCAGCATGACTAAGCCGCTTCTGGCGAACCAGAGCAGTGCACGGAAACGTCATTTACCTTCCCATAGGAAGTACCTATTTATTTACTTGCACTGCATGCATTCGAACTGCTAGGTTGGCAGCAGCAGGGATGGAGCAACGGGAGCTCACGCCGTTGCGGGGATTCGAACCACCGATCTTCTGATTGGCAAGCCCTAGGCTCTATGATTTAACCTATGAATGAATCAAAGGATATTAAATTTGAACAAAACTAGTTATGCAATGGCAGTGAACAAATAATACAGAATATGTCATAAGGAATAGATGGGAAGTCTGGTCGACAGAAAAAGACCACTCTTATTTTATGTTTTGAAGGTTATTAGTTGATGTATTAATTCTCTTCTTTTTGCTTTGGCTGTGATGGAAATTTATTTTCTTTTTTTGTATGGTGTGTTAATGTGAATGGTATCAATAAAATCTAATAAAAACAAACAAACAAACAAACAAACATTTTTATAGGCACTTTTGCCAGTTAGACAAGCACCTCTTTATCCTGACTTTTGACATAAGGTGTATATTTTCAGGACCAAACCTTGTTTTTGTAATTGTAAGTTGTTTTAAACTGTTTTAACACTGCATTTTAATGCGGCAACCCACACTGGGATCTTAGGATAAAGAGTGGTTGATAAACAAACAAACAAGCAAACAATTTATCCTAATACAGTGCATTTCTGTATGCCCTTTTCACTAATTTTTATGCACACTCTCTCTCCACCCCCATGCATGTATTTTTCGACATGCTATGCATTTGGAGAACTGCATTGCAATATTTGGAGACGAATGAATTTTGAAGGACCCCTGTGTTTCAGTTCACATATTGTTTTGGAATGTGTGAATTCAGTAAGCTTGCCTTTAAATGTAAACAAAATCAAATTTCTTCACCATCCTTTCTAAGAACTTTAATAAAATAAAACTGACAAGTAGTACTGCAACATGCCCACTCCATTAAGAACATTGCGCCCATGCAGCCAAGTCATTTTAGAGGCTGGGGTTTTCCAGGCAGCACTTCTCTTGAGACGGTTGTGTGTATTGCTTCACTTACGTCAAAATGAGGTAAGCCAGCCCTGTGGCATTTGGGGACCCTCTTGCTCATTCAGTTGAGCGGGGTTCTGGACATCTGCCTCACACCATCAAATCCTGCTCTGATAGCACCACTGAGTTTGTGTGGCCTTTTAAGATAATTTCACACTTGTTTCTGTGCCAGTGTCTTTTTCTGCTCTCTATCTCTTCTGTGAACTTCAGTTTTTTTGTTACACTTGCAAGTTTTTTGTCACAAGGCTTATGCAGGGGAGGAAACTGAGTGTGGCCACACTCTAGTCTGGCCCCTGCCACCTTCACATTAGCATTAATGTCTGATGCAGGATAAGCCTAAACACATTTACCTTTTGAAAAAGTGAACCTCAGACCTGGGGTCAAACGGAGCCCTCCAGGCCTCTTTGTCCAGCTCTCAAGACTCATTCTAGACCCACATGCTTCCCCCCACACCCTTCCCAGGTTACATCTCACGCCAGCCCTACCCCACATCCTTTTCAAAGTTTTTCTTAGCAGCTGAAATGTTTCCTTGAACTAGGATAATGCCTCTGGATGGAGGATGGAGGATGGAGAGGCTCTGTGTGTGGCTACAAAGAGTCACCCTTGTTATCCCACCCACTTTTGTTTCTGGCCCCACTCACTGTTGCCCCTGCAGGGGCCCACTACTGGCATGTTGCCCCCAGAAAGTTCCCCACAGGAAATGTGGCCTTAGGGCTGAAAAAAGTTCCTGCCTCTAGCATTAAAGCTTCCCCAAATCCTGGAAGCCTGATCAAATATACTACAATGCAAATAGCAAGGGCACAGCTGTGGTGCCATGCACCATGGGGCAAAGGCAAAAGCATGGCCCTGTTACCCCTTTCTGCTTGATTTCCTTCTTTGCACAAGAAGTACATTTAGCTTTGGGGTGTATAGGGTGTTAGAGGAGGTGTAACATCTCTGGTGGGCAACACATCATGTTCCTTCTGGGATAGTTTGCCCACCTTTGGTCCCCATCCTGCACTCTGCTCTCACCTGTGGCTCCTAGAAGCTGTCAGCTGCACCCTGGGAATGGCTTCTACTGGCTGGCTAAATCAGGTGAGGGTAGCTGGTGCATCTCAAACTCTTGGTAAATTGGGGACTTCCCTGCACGTGAAGACAGACTCTGGCAGACTGAGCAGACAAGACCAATAGTGGGTCCAATGGTCAAGAAGTCAGTTTCTGAACATGTTGTAGCACGAAGTGAAGGGGAAATGGGGCTCATCAGCCTAGGAAGGTAGCCTATCCAGGAGCAGAAAACTCTGGTCCTAAATCTCTGCTGCCTGGCAGGATATCTTTAAGAGAAGTAAAGGCTAAGGAGTAAACCCTACACAAATCTGGAGTGGAGTCCCCAAGGCAGTGGGATGGGAACTTGTTTGTCTTCTTCCACCAACTCCTGCAGCCAAGCTGGTGCCAAATGTATTGCTCTGCTTTTCTGTGGACCACAAAATCAAGGTTGAGAGGGGTTTTTTTGTTGTCTGGTCAGTCCAAAACCTCCATACACACTACCAGGGCTTGCACCCCAAAGAGGTCACTTTGGTGCTGCTAATGCAGTGGTTTGAGTTCACCCTAGAGGCACACTCCATTGTCTCTTGAGATAGATGGATGCCAAAACAACATTTAGCCAGCAATCCTGTACACCCTTACCTAGGAGTAAGTCCCACTGAAGTCAGCAGGATGTTCTTCGGTGGGCAATAGGATTCCTATGCACATATCTGGGAATAAGCCTCACTGAAAATTGTGGGACCCAAATCTGAGTAAACATGCATAAGAGTGCATTGCCAACCTAAAAATCTAACCTTAAAGCCCTCTCAGCAGTTAGATGGTAGATTTGACCGTTATTTGATCAATACCAGCCGTGAAATGTGAGATAGCTGATAAAAGTGAAGACAAAACAGAATCATTTGCTAATATTTCCCAGCCACAAAAACCTTCAACCTAGCCATGAATATCACAGCATGAACGATGCTGTTCTAAGCTGTTTCTGAAAGATTCTTAGCATTGTAAATTGGCATATTTCCAGTGCAAGGAAAGCCCCCTGTTGTAAGCCAACCATACTCAATCAGCTGTGGGAAATCCATGAAAAGGATGTGGGAGATCTATGGCTGGATCTAACATTCTTTTTAGGACTAAAAAGAGCCGTGTGGGAGAGTGGAGAGAGGCAATTTGGATTAGGAATGTGAAGCTACTCTAGGTGATGAAAATTGACTCTTCCATCCTATTTTCCTGATTCAAATCAACACACACACACACACACACACACAGAGAGAGAGAGAGAGAGAGAGAGAGAGAGAGAGAGAGAGATTGCTCCCTGGAGTTTCAGACTCTGTCCTTTCCCAGCCCTATTTGTAGTTGCTAGGGATTGAACCTAGTGCTTTCTGCATGCATTGAGCCACAACCCTTCCCCATATTCTTTAAGGCAGGCCAGCAAAAGTGTATGAGTGTAACCACCAGAAACAAGAATAACTGTTTAAATTTTCAACTGAGGGTGTTGGGATAAAAAAATAAATAGGCCAGTCTCAGTTTGGGAGTCCAAGGGATCTACGTTCAGCCAGCCAGGTAGCACACATGGTAATGGACCAGATAGGCACCAACAATTATTTCCTATTGTTAAAAAAAGAAGTTTTCTGGGGCAAAACAATGCAGAGCTTGCAGATTCATCATCTAAAGCAGAAATGGGTAGCCTGTGGTCCCCCTAGGTCAGGCATCCCCAAACTTGGCCCTCCAGATGTTTTGGGACTACAATTCCCACCATTCCTGACCACTGGTCCTGTTAGCTAGGGATGATGGGAGTTGTAGTCCCAAAACATCTGGAGGGCCAAGTTTGGGGGTGCCTGCTCTAGGTGTTGCCCCATCACCTAACCCTCTCTGATCATTGGCCCTGCAGGCTGGGTCTGAAGGGGTCCAACAACATCTGGAGGACCACAGGTTCCCAATCCGTGATCTGAAGTTTAAACTGGATGGAGGGACAGCTCTGGATTCTCTTTTGCTCTGTTACATTGTCGTAGGAGGGTTTTCCAAACACAGAGTGACATCTTTGATTTGTTAAGACCTAAGAGAACCTTACACTGTCACCAGCATGGTCATTTCTCAGTCTGTCACCTATGTTAAAGTTGCATTCAATTCAAGCTTATCCAGCTAATCGGTGGTTTAAAAGGCAGATGATTAAACAACTAATCAATTAACAGTAGGAATAGAGGAGAAATTCAGTTCAGTACATATTTGAAGCCAAATCCATCAGCTTTGTGCTTTCCAAAACAGTACGTGAACTGAAGCACAGCTATCCATGGAAATATGCAATTATTCACATTTTGTGATGCAATTCGCCAAGCAAGCAATGCTTACAAAAATGCATATTTTATGGGGAAATGTGCATAAACATGTTGATATTAGTAAGACTAGCATACAAAAATGCATTGCATTAGGGGAAATTGCTTGCAAAAATGTGGACATTAGTCAAAACCGCATATGAAAATGTTTTTATTAGAAGACATTTGCACTAAAATGCTGGTGAAGTTTCATGAGTTTTTTAAAAAAATAAAAAAAATGCTAAATGTGGAGAACCAAATTTCAGATTGGAAACTTTATATATGCATAGAACCAAAATTGGGAGATCTTTCCATCCCTAATCAACAGCTTTAAGTCTTTTCAGAAAAATAATTTATATTAGTCATTTCATGCTTTCTACTGTTTTGCAGGCATACAGACTAGTTGCCCAAAGGGCGATAGAACAATAGACTTGGAAGTCATCTCAAATATAAGATAATCTACCCCTGCCCCAGAGTAAAGGAAACCCACAGCTACAGCATCTCTGACAGGTACATATCTAGTCTCTGCTGAAAAACCTTCTGCGAACGTTAATCACCTTCTGAAGAAATTTGAACCCAGCTGATAAGAGATGTTTAGTGAAAACTAGAGACTGGAGAGAAATTTTATTCTGTTACATTTAAAGATGAATCTACTTATTTCACACTTTCTGAAACAATCTGAGAACCAAAACATATCCACCCTTCAAAATTCAAATTTTGTAATGCCATTCTCCAGACAAGCTGCGAATATAAAATTTATATGCCAGGGTAAAGTGTGCACAGAAGTGCATATATTAGTGAAAATAACATACCAAAAATGCATTACATCAGGGGAACTTGCTCTGCCAAAATGTGCACATTGGGTAAAAGTGCATGAAAGGAAATGTGAATTTTAGAAATTTGTAATAAAATAAATTTTCATGAGGACTGTTTTTTTTAAAAATCACATACTTCACTGTGGACAATTGAACTTCAGATCAGAGAAATGAGAAACTTAGAGAAACCAAAATCGAAAGATTTTCCCACCCTGTAATTTGAAATCATTGGTTTGAATCTTATCTTCTGGAGTCTGGCTTCAAAAAATATCCTTTTAGCAATCTTTTGCTGGGCAGAAGCAGTTCTCCTGAAACTCACAGTGGGTGGTGTGGTGAGAACTTTCCTACAGCATGATTCCAAAGCCTTACCTCATTGGAACGTCCCAGTATTAGCAAAAGTAAGCCCTCTGGGAAACTCAGCGTTCTGGCAGCAGTGTTGCACCTTGTTGCTTTCATGTGTGATTAAAACGGAGAAAGGAAGACAGTAGATAGAACTTGCTACAGCCAGGTTAATGCAACAGGAAGTAAAAGGCGCTGCTACTTCTACCACGGAAGTCTTGTTTACATGCAAGAACATCAGTCTGAATCATAGTGTTGCTATGCTGGCTTTCTGTAACCAAACAAAGACTGAGACAGATTCTCACAGCCACAGACCCACCCACCCACATTTATCGTTTGCGACCAATGATTAGGGATGGATGAATTTATTAATCTTGGTTTCTCTCAGTTTCCCAATCTTAAACCCAGTTCTCCACATTTATGCACCAGCTTATTTTTTTCCAAAAAAACCATTGCACCCTTGCTTGCGCCACTCACTCCCTGCCATTCCCCCCATTAACCCCCAGAGTTTCCCTTCCCACCCCATGCAGCTACTAAGCTTGCTTTCCACTTTCCCAACCCCATTTCTGAAGCCACTTCTCTCTTCTGTTCTGCAGCCCTGCTCTGAATCCGTTTTCACCTTCACCACCATGTCCTTGCCTCCCCTCTCCTTGTGTGCAGCCCCCATGGTTACCTCCTGCACCTTCTGCCTCCCCCCATTGCATCACAACTATTAAGCTGCCTTTTTACCACCTGCACAATTATGAAGTCCCCACCCCTCCTATTCCCCAGGCCCTTTCATGCACCAGCTTTCATCTTCGACACCATTCACAAGGCTCTTACTTCCCCCTCCCTCTTTTTGCAACCCCTGTTGAAACCACATTTTCACCTTCACACATTTTCATCCTCCATCCCCTCCTTACTTTTCTCAGCTACTTTTCCCTTACACACAGATCACCCCTCATTTCCATGCCTTGTATTCTCTTCTATTGCACAGTCTCATTTGTGCATGCACACACCATGATATTGATGATATCTAGGCTGGATTACTGTAATGTACTCTGTGTGGGGCTTGCTCCAGAAACTGTAGTTAGTGCAGAAAGCTGCAGCAAGGTTGTTGGCAGGAATAAGATCCTATCAGTGTAAGCATGTTACCTATGCTCAGAGATTTGCACTTGCTTGCTGCCAGGCCATTTGTTTCCAAGCCATGTTCAATGTGCTACTATTAGCGTGGGCAAATAATTTCAGTAGGAATCAATGTATATCCTAATTCTGATTAAATTATTTAACTGCCACTACTGTAGTCAAAATAGCAACATGCAAGAGGAAGGCATGAGTAGACTTGACGTATCACAGAGATGTGCAGAAGTACCAAAAATATATATTGGGAAGTAAAACCTTAGTGGGTAGAGGGAAGTGGAATCCAAAATAGTCCAAAGAGGTCTAAGCTTAGTGCCCACAAAACTTTGTATGACTGTGTTGAGGAAGAAAGAATCCCGCATGGGAGGAGGAATGGAAGGGGAGGTGTTATGTACTGAGTTGAATAAGATCCAAAATGCAGCAGTCTGATTGGTCCTAGAACAATAGCATTCAGAATGCAGCAGTCTGATTGGTCCTGGAACAATAGGATCCAGAATGCAGCAGTCTGATTGGTCCGCAGGAGCCACCCAATCCAGCTCCAGGTGGAAGTGAATCCACAACCTGATTGGCGTACAGGAGAATCCCAGAACTAGCCAATCACGTGGGGCCCATTGTGTAAAAAGCAGACAGTTTGGGGGAACTTTGATTCCTCACTACTACGAGCTGAATAAAGAGCATGAAATCCACACTCGACTCCAAGTATATTTCAGGAGGGTAGAGAAAGGGACCTTGATATACAAAGGTGCCCACCTGGGCACTCACCCTTTTCCCAGCTGTCACCTATTAGCTCACTCACTCTGCGCAGCCAGGGAGATATTTGAAAGTTCTGCCACTTCCCCATCCAGATCCAAACATGTTTTGTTGCTCCCTCTATTGCTGTTGCACAGGGAGGGAGTACTGACTCCACCCACAATCTGCCCCCAACCCAACCTCCTTCAGTAGCTCCAGAAACATGCAATGGTCAATGGTATCAAAAGTTGCCAGAATGTCAAGAAAAACAGGAGGGTCATACTGCCCCCCCATCTCTCTCTCATCAAATGTAATCAACCAGGACAACCAAGGTAGTTTCAGCATCATGACTGGATCTGAAGTGAGGCTGAAATAAATCCAAGTATTCAGTCTCTGCCAAGGATGCCTGAAGCGAGACCACTGCCACCCTCTCAAGCACCTTGTCTCAAGAGGATATTAACTTGTTTTCATACCTGGGGGGGGGGGAGGACATCCCATTTTTTATCACAAGAGAAAGGTGGCCATTTTGGTTGTCTTGGTCTTGTGTGATTTCACAGTGTGATTTTGCATTTGGGTCGTGGGGAACTGCAGCATAAAATTGCACAAGATCATGGCAACCAAAATGACTGTTGTGCTCTCAGTAAAAAAAATTAAAAATGGGAAGATGGCATCCAGGAAGATTGTGTCCCAGATTTTGGCTTCAAAGTGTTGGAGGGAATGTGTTTCAATACACACACACTCCTCTCTTCTTTTCCGCCATTCAGGCAAGCAAAAATCTTTATTGGAATTCAAAGGCACATTCCAGCCTGTCAAAAATACTCAAAGAATTGTGAAGTAAGGCTGGTGACAGGGACAGCCTGGGGATAGGAGGTGTGGCTGGGTAGGGGTGCAATGTGGGGAAAGTCCTAAGGGCCAGATTGAGAAACTTGGAGATTGCATTTGGCCCCTGGGCCTGAGGCTTCCCTACCCTAGGGTAGACAATTGAGGTAGATAGACCAATGGTCTAATTCAGTAGGTGGCAGCTTCCTAGGTCTGGTAGAGTTCCCATAGATGATGCCAGTTTTTCTTCTTCTTAAGTATTCTTAACTGAATGAATAGCATAGGATGAGTCATCTAGCTTTGTACTTTGCCATCTGTTAAACCTTTGTGGCATTCATTTTCAGGCTTTTTTGGCAATGTCTCATGGGGACTACATGTGCACAGTTGACTGGGTGGTGGTTTGACAGTTTATATGCAGAACGGAATCTTTCATATACATGAGCTCTTCCTCCTCGGTTCCCATCAAGTTTCCCCCGCTAAATGCAAATATCAGAATCTATTAGAAACATAGGTGGCTGCCTAGAAGCACCATTCATCCACCTGGTTCAGTATTGTCCACACTGAGCGGCAGCAGCTCTTTAGGATTTCAGGTAGAAGTCTTTTCTCAGCCCTACCTGAAGATGCTTGGGATTGAACCTGGGACCTTCTGCATGCAAAGCAGATGCTCTAGAACCTAGCTATGGCCCTTCCTCCTACATTACAGCAAGGGAAGTGCAGACACAGCACAGAGGAGCTGGTCTCCCTCTTCCTTTTTGGAATGGGAATAGTGTTTAAAATGCAGTAGTATTGGGAGGGGAAATGAATATGGGATGGAAGGACTTCCGGGTTGGCGATGGATTTGATGACTGTTGGGATCGGAAAGTTTGGACAGGCAGGGGGTACCTATATAGAACCCACTCAGGAATTAATTCAGGAGTGTGCTTTGACAGATCAGATGAGGGAGGAGGTTGTTGCTGGACCTAGTGAGGCAGAGACGGAGGGAACTGTGGCCCAGCAGGAACATGAGTTGTTGGACTTGACGAATGAACCTGGAAAAAGCCAGATTTGGAGAGACAGAGTTCTGTTTGGCTTGGAGATGGGGGGCTGGATAGACCCCCCTATGCAGGGATGTTTTGACCTTTCAAGTCTGGCTTTGGGCCGGGAGGCGTTCAGAGTTGTGCGGGCCCTTAACTTTGGAGGGACTTTGAAACATGCTTTTAAATACCACATGGAGTTCAGTGTTGACTTTGGAAAAGGGGCTGACTTGTCGAGAAGGGACAAAAACATTGTCAAGCTGGAGTCTCCCCGAGTGAAAGGAGCAGAAGACAAAGTAAAGCACAGGTATAAATACGAAGAAGATCTGCGGATGGGACATGGAAGAGATCCAAGGGCCTTGGATATAAGGTTACCAGGTTGATGGACTAGATGGATGGGATAGAAAGGACTGACAAAACCCGAGACCAGGAGAAAGAGACGTTGGATGAAGATTGGAAGAAAGTTTTAAACAATTTATTTAGGAAAATCTTGTAAAAGTAAAGAGTATTAGAAAAATGTTGGAATGAAATTATTTGGCTTTAGCAGAAATGTTAAAAAGAATTATGTAAGAATATGTCATGGTTAAGAGAATTTGGTATAAATAAGATTTAAGTTTTAAGTTTTAGGGCCTTTTATGGTAAGATAAGGTTAAAATAGATTAAGGTAATTTAATGACAGAATATTATGAAAGATGGAAAGGATTTGCTGAGATAATTAACAACTAGAATACAAAAAGGGAGGTGTGAGGAGGTCGATGAAACAAGGTAATGACAGTTAATGATTTGGGAATATTGGATTTGTTTTTAATTTTTTTTTTTATTTTTGCTTTTTGATTTTGATGTATTATGTGTTTTGTTTTTTTTCTCTTTTTGACCTTGTTTTTTTTATTGATTCGTATTGTTTAAATGTTACTTGTTTTTTCCTTCTTTTTTTTCTTTGTTTCTTTGTAATCTTAAAATTCTCAATAAATATTATTTTTTAAAAAAATGAATATGGGATGGAAGAACTCAGTAGCATTTCTCTGCTCCCACTTCTGCCTTGCAGAGTTCTGGATAATGTAATTCTACCACTTTTGGTTTCTGTTCCTCCCTTAGGTTGGCACCTTAAATAATTAGTTCTGTTTTTGCAAAGTGGATAGTTTTCAACAAGCACCAACACTTTGGCTTATTAGTTGTTATCCTATGTATAAGGCTGGTGCACTGTCATTTTTTAACCTGCAGGGAACTGCCTTGCCCTGGTCAACTTTACAGCTGTTTCATTTATTTATTAGAGTTAGGGGCTCAACTATTGCTCATTGTCTAAGGTTACAGTCCTAAGCACCCTTACCTGGGAGTAAGTCCCCTTGGACACAGCATCAGATTGTGCTGCAAGTGTTCCTTGTGAAACTCAGTCATTGAAGATACGTTTTGCAAACTTTTAACAATTCTTTCACACTTTGGATTTACCCAATATATGCCTCTGGATTGTGACTTAACTAATT